CCAGCAAGGCCAAATGATGGGACCCAGAAGAAGAAGCAAAACCCATGTCTTGAGAGATGTGAAGAACGGATAAGAAGCAAAATCGTTCTGCAGCCTAGATCAGACCATTTACCTGCTAGACAGGTCAGCTTTGCCAAGAGGGTAACTTGATTTCTTGGCTGCTGGTGTACATGGGGCCTTTTCTTTCTAACCCAGCAAAGCAGTAGCACAGGCCAGGGAGGTCAGTTCTGTTTGATTCAACCATGACATGCACGACAGCCAAGGGGCTGCTCCCAGGCCCCAGCAGTGAGCCCAGCCGGGAGTGCAGTTTTGTTATTGTAGCCGCAGGCCCACTTCCAATCTAATTACACACAACAGCTGTGCTAGCTCCTCTTTCCCATCCCCTTTCCTCCCTCTGCTATGTAATTCCAGGATAGGTTTTGTCATTATCAGTGGCAGTGAATCAGGGTGAATGGCATCTACTTTGAGTGATCAAAGGAATAAGAACATGAGATAGAAACCGAAGAGAAAGTTGTTTACCCCGACATCTATGGAAGCAATAGTGAAAAAAACATACTATCTCCTTTCACTCCCAGCAGAAACAGTATTTTGACATTCCTTGTGGCATTCTCCTATAAGTAGCTGCATAGGAAGGGCCACAAACATGGTGATGCTTGAAAACATGAAAACAAACATGCAAGTGCTCACAAATATGGCCACATGCACAAGAGAATGTGAGAGTACATGTGCAAGATCTCAGAGTGAATGCATTTTATGATTTATCCACAAAATGTGTATCACTGCAAAGCAGAGCACCTGATCAAATAGGTGCATGAGTTGGGAAAAGAACTGTTAGACATGGAATACAATTCTTCAGCTTGAAAAGATATCTCTGACAATATATACAATTGAGATAAAACCCCAATTGAGACAGAGCAGGTGAACAGGAAACATCTTTTTCTTTATTTGTGGGAAACAAAAAATAGGAGTCACTGAATGAAATTCTCAAGGAACAGGTGCAGAAACAATTGAAATAAAGTACTTACTACATTTCAGTGATTAAACAATGGGACTTGTTATCACAGGATACAGTAGAGTTAAAAAATACAAGTGGATTATGTAAAACAAAGACTGGATATATCCAGAAAAAATAAGTTCATCAATGACTGTAGAACACAGCTGGATGCAACATCAGGCCAGAAAGTCCTTAAAACAGTAATTACCAGAAACCACCAAGACACTGGGACAAGACTTATGCTATCATAGTTTCCTAAACTTCCTCCAAAGTATCTGCTTTCAAAAAAAGACAGGGAATGGCGGAATTCTTGTTCTCACCCTAGTGATTACTACTGCCATATTCTTGCAAATAGGTTTGCATGCAACTAAAAACCATTCACATTCCAGTGTAAGAAAATCACATTAGGGAACAGTACCTGTGCAAAGGGCATAAAAGAATCAAAATAATGGTGGCACATATGAAGAAGAACCTAAACCCATACATACTGGCTTCAAACTCCTAATGAGTGGCACTGACAATATGGCATAGATGCATTCCCACTGTGAGCTGGTACCTTCTGCAAACAGGAAACTTCAGATGGGCTGAAACCCATCATTTTCATGGCCCAAAAGCAGAGTTTTTCTTTAAAGAAGGAGAAGCCAGCATAAAGATACTGTTTAAATGACCCTATGACATGGAGTCAGGAAGATCAACTATAACAGCAGACCTGAGATGAAGAAGGGAAAGAAGCATTTAAAGACGGTGTTTGAAAGATTAAAGGCCCATATCAAAAATTTGCTAGTATGCTTATGCTTTCAATGATCTCTGCATCTTTATGGAGGATTTGTTCAGGTAAACAAGGACTAATTTTTCCTCTGGGAACTACCTAGGTAATGTCTACTGGGTTCTGTCCATTCAGATACATGCAAACACTAGTCAGCAGTAAAATCACGACAGCCAAAAACCTGGAACTTAATCTCTTAGTCTCCTCCCCATAAACATTTAAAAATCTCTTCCACAATAGGAATAAGCATGGTATGAATAGTAAAAGCACTGTTTAAACTTTAACAACCCCTCCCCAGCTATCAGTAACAGCCTCCATAATATCAAGGAACGATATTTAGTTCTTGCTCCTGCATCTATTCTTCCACTAGAAAAAAAAAAAATAAATGAGATAGGAGCATATAACTTTCTCTTTGATCTATTGGTCTTTTTTTCAACTATTTATCTTTCAGAATCTATACCACTGGTAAAGAATAGAAGGTGCTGAGAAAGAAGCAGATACTGTGCAGAAGTGACAGAGGCATCCATTCCGGTCTGTGCTGCATGCCACTTCCCAGTCAGGCACTTAACCTCTGTACTAATAATGTTCCATGTACCATAATGTTCAGCCCCAGCACTCAAACCAGTTTGTGAAGGTGAGGTGAGGCTGTAGCTATAACCCCAAAGAGAAAACTGAAGTACTGAAAGAAGCTATTTCTCCTCAACATGACACAGCAAGTCAGTGACCCAGCCAAGTGCGGACAGCAACAATCCCAACTCCAGGGCGCTGTTCAAAATGTGGTGGTGTTATTTGAAGGAAAGGAGGGTTAACATCTGTCAAACTTCTTTTATATATGAAATAAGCCAGACGGGATCGAGTTGGCTCTTGAAAGGAGTATACCAATGAGCTCCTGTTGCTGGAGTGCCCTTCTTCACAAGCAGAGACCTCACAGCCAGGAAAGGCTTATGCTACATATTTCTGTTTACTTTAAAAATAAATAACCTCTTTGCACCTTGGAGTAAATGCACCCATCAGAACCCTTTGGGACCCACTGCTGCCAACCCCAGCCTATTCACAGCTACCTCCTCTTAGGGGGGAATTAGTTTGAACCAGTCTATTCAACAATAATGAATACTTATTTAATCAATGGGCTCTTTACAGCCCTTCTGCTGCCTGTGGGTAGTTACCACGAGCACATAAAATCCCTAATTTGTCTTTCAAACAGTAGATGGTTGAAGTAACCATTTTGATAGGGGCCTGAGGCTCTGTCCTTGCAATATAAATAGCTGGATGGCCAAATAGGTGTCTGCATAGCTTGGCAGAAGTACAGATGCAAACCCCCCTGGAGGTCCATCCGTGTCACTGCCCAATCTCACAGCAGTGCCAGTGCACCCCTGAGGGTGAGATGAGCAGAGGGATGAGATTACCTAGGAGTCATCAGTGACTGAGCCCTGTGATGAGGTGTGGGTAACTGTGAGACTGAAACCATGCAGACGATGGAGAGAACACATGAAAAAGCATTCACGTGTCACTAGAAATCCACAGGTGACTAAAAATCCTTGTGAGAAAGCACATAAGCAGTCCTGAAAAAAAGAACACATGTATGAGCAATGGGAAGAATAAAAAATTCACATCCAAATGTATAAATCATGAGAATAACAGGGCAGTAGGGCAGAAGAGCACAGAAAGCAGAAGGATGGACTGCTCCATGGTGCCCACACCAACAGCAGCAGACTCCTGTACTGGCTGTGCCACCTCTGCTTGGGCTCCTACCAGTGATGCTATCAGCTCCTGCACACAGGGAGATGTCCCTGATGTTACTTGAGGCAATGCTCATTACTGGCATAATATAAAGTGTCTCACTGGTAGAGCATAGCAAGGCCATGCTATCACAATTCACTCATCCTCCTCTGTCACACATCAACATCTTCAGGATGTTGGGGAGACTTGTGACTCGAAGTCTCTGGCACATGTCCTGTCAGATCCTGCCAAGACGAGAGAAAACAGGAGCTCCTGGACACCTCAGACTGGGGCAGAGAGATGGCAGAGATTCAGCCTTGTAGATAACAAAAAATATTGCATGTCAAAGTTGACAGAGCCTTTCTTTCCAAAGGCAACATTTGCCGTTCAGCCACTTCCATTCCACTGAGATGCACACAGAATGCAAAAGTTCTCAGAAGAACAAAAAGGTGGCTGATGAGAAAAACCAAAAGGCTAAATATGCCAGGAAAATGCCCAAGTGATGGGCCCTCTCTGCAGGTCTCTGAAGGTCTGATTACCCAAGTGTAGAAAAGAAGCAAATTGAAAAGAGAACTCAACACATTCCAGATCCAGATAACTCATTCCAGGTTGGGTTTAGCAAAAGTTATGCAGAAAGATGAGAAGGAAAAGAGCTTTGACTTGCCTATTATCCCCTTCCAGCCAGGGCAATATAGGATGCTTTCTTGAGCTCCGATTTCCATTTTACATAATGATAAAGCATGTGGAACTGCCCAAGTGTGAAGTAAAAATTAATTTCTAAAGTTTCACTGGCAACAGAATGTAGACTAGAGTCAAGTGGCCTAGTCCATCTAACACTTGTAGCTGAAGTTGGGAGACCCTGATGCTGTCAATAATGAGACAGCAATCTGAGGAGGGAGGTTTGGAGTTCTCTGTGGCAACATACACTGTTGTGGAAGAACTTCACACATAAACAAGCACGTGAAACACACATTCATTTTCCCTTTTAAATGAATCATTTGTTCCCTGGTGGGAATAAAATTTTGATACCTAAATAAGATCACACATTCAGATTCAGACAGAAAGGTACTCACTGGTTTATAAAAATGTAAAATAAAACAACAAAAAAGCCCTTTGTTAGTAGAAATGAAATTCAACGTGTTATCAGTGGGAGTAGCAAATGGAGTAGACTGCAGTAAGAGAAAGAAAATGACTAATCTAGATTTTTATGCCAGACTAGACACAGATGTATCAGAAATAAATTGTATATAATGCAGTTTTCAATGCCAGGTTCAATTAGCAATACAAGCAACCATTCTTAATGCAATTTTCATTCAGAAAGTGTCCCTTTAACTGACCAACACAATGTAGTCTCTGAAGAGGGAAGTTTGTGCCCTTTGCTACTATGAAAGCCTTCTTTCAGCAAAGACTGTGCAATCCAGACCTTGTGATGCCCAGCAGGAAACAGGATGAGACCTGCTTTGGTAACTTACCACTGCTCCTTAAAGGACAGCCTTTCAGGTCAGCAAAAGTAACACTTACCTGGAATATGATTGACATCTGTTGAGGTGTGTTCATGGCAAGCAGAAGGGAGAAAAGAAAGAGAAAGAAAGAGAAGAGAAAAAAAAAGCCATTAGAGATGCGCACAGCAACTCGGCATCCTTGCATGGAAATCAATTTCATGCAAAACCAGAAGTAATTAGGTTTGTTTGAAGGCCACCCATCTGCATCCAAGCACGCCGCCATGCAAGGGAGGAGGCACAGGCTCCCCCTCCACTGTGCATGTAAAAGTGAATCCACCATCATATCTGTCCGGAGAGAGTTCCTGGAATCAGATAGAACCAAGCCACATCAGTTCCTGTAAGAATATTAGTTAAAATATTCTATGTTTTTCACACACACGAATGCAAAAGAGAGAAACAAAAAACAACCTGCCTGCAGAAGGCTTCTATAGCACATAAATTCAAGCAAGTTTCTAGAAAAATAGAAAAGAACCTGCTCCCCTTTTATAAGGGGCCATGTGAATTTATGACCAGTAAGACATACATAGTCCCAAAGTCTAGAAGAGAGTCCAATCCTTTTCATTCTTTCTGCCCATCATTTTCCAAAAAGCATCCTTCATTGCAGACAGTAGTAGAGGTGGGGGAGAAGGAGTGTGTCAGAGCTCTGCACATCTCACATATTGTCTTTCACAAGATGCTAAATTCAGAAAAAATGTCATTTGGTACTTTTTCTCTCTGTGGCATAAGACTGTTTTTCAGAATCAATTACATAAATCTCAAAATAATTAAGTATTTTAAAAAGGGAGGAGGAAGACTGTGCAATTCATACTGCTGATAACAGAGATGGGACATATTCAAATGTACTGTCTGTTTTGGGCAGAGCCCACCAATCCCAAAGTACTTTAAAAATTAAAAAAAATGCTTCTCATAATTTTTTAGCATCCAAAATTTAGTCTTGCTCTGAATAGCTACACTTACCGTAATACCAAGAGGGAGAATCTCCTGAAATCTCATAGGATTAGATTAATATTTTCTTTACAAGGCAGCCCTCCAGAAAAAAAACAAACAACTTGCTTGAGGAAACAGGGAGGCCAGGTCCATAGAGGTCCACAGATAGCATTCTCCCCTGGAAGCTTGTACCCTTGTCCAGGAGTTGGGCTGGTAGAGTTATCAACTTTCCAGTAAGGCTTCAAAGAAATACATTAATGATTTGGACTACAGATGCCAGACTACTTCCACCACAAATTTAGGAGCATGACATACTGAGTACATTGGCTTCACACTAAGGTCTAAGGCTATATTCTTCTTCTCCCACTGTGCCCTCCAATTTCCATCAGTATTCCACCTTCCTGTCCAAACCCACTGTGCTCCCATGAAACTGGTGCCACTTGTTCTCTGGAGACACTGGCAATTCAGCAGAGAGTGATTCCCATGTGTGCTGCATTTCGCTTGTCACTTTGTAATGGCTCCAAAACCATTTGAGGATAAGTCTCTGTGGAAATCATACATATATCAAGCTGACCTTTCCTAAGGAGGTAACAATCCAAATAAAGCAATGCATGAAGAACGGAGGGACTGCTGCACCAATTCATTTAAATTCCATAGCATTTACTAAACATATAAGGCAGATCTGATGTGGATTATTTGCTGCCTTTCCTCTTTTAGCCCAAAATTGCATCTGAGAACCAGTGCCTTGGCAGGCCTAGAAGGACACTAAGCACTGAAAGTTCACCTGAAAGTAATTACTTCTAGGTAGGAAAACCAGTGTCAGGTAGCAATACATGCACTGAGGATGGAAAGCAAAAGAAGGTGATAGCAGGGGCAAAAGGAAGGAGCAGACCCTTAAACACCACTCCAGAATGTGAACATGATGACAAAGAATTAGAAGTCCACTGCTAGGAGCAGTCCTGAGTTGATGCACTGCTTGGGAAAAATCAGTGGCAGTTAGAGATGATCACATATCTCAGAAGAGGTAGAAGTGATTACCATAGGGCACTGCAAATATTTCTGATAATTCAGCATCCGCCTGAAATTCTACTCTAAGCAGGTAAAAAGTTCTCAGCCCATGTTTTCCTCTCAGCCTCCCTGCACACCTGACAATGGAGCAGGCACTGCTGCAGTCCGGGCTACCCAAGGGGGCCTAGAACAGCAGGCAGCCTCACCAGGGTGTCTCTGTTCCAGCAGGAAATCTGTGGGATGGCTGGGAAGTGAAAACTATCAGCAGATAGAAAGGGCAAAGGAAAGAGCTAGCCAAGGGTTAGCAAGGGATAAACACATTAAGCAAGTAAGAGAAGAGGCAGTGGGCTGTAACTGATACACTGCTTGAAATAATACTTATTTAACTGTGCAGGAATTAAACAGGTCATGAAACTGTTAAAAAGGGAAATGATGAAGTGCTAAGAGCTGACATAACCATCTCTAAAATTTAGTTTCTCAATAGCAAGTAAAAGCAAGGGGATTTCTTTTTACCTGATTTTTTTTTTTTTTTTGTGCCAAGGACTCTAAGAGCAAGCATCCCCCACCCTGACTGATTTAACTCTTAGCTTTTTTTTGCTGTATCTTTTTTTGCAAAGTTTCCACCCAACACGATTTCTGTATACATTAGTTGCCCCACTAAAGTAATTGTTTTCATCTCTCTGACACTTTCACAGTACTTACCTACATGGCAGCCCAGGTCATTACTTCCCATACTGAATACAGGAGTTTCTTGTATTGCAGACACCCCCCCATGTGGTATCTGCTGGCAAATGCTGATTTCCAAATGGTAAAATTACTTATTTTTTAGTTTAAAACAACAAGAGAAAGCACTGCTTTCTTTGCAAAGACAAAAAAATTACATATAACCAGTCAGTCCTCATGAAAGACCCTACAATAAATACCACTGAGGCATTAAAGTGAAACTGTCATGCAAGTCACAGAATCACAAAGCATAGAATATTCTCGGTTAGAAGGGACCCACAGGGATCATTGAGTCCAGCTCCTGGCCCTGCACAGCACCATCCCTAAGAATCACACCATGTGCCTGAGAGCTTTGTCCAAACACTCCTTGAGCTCTGTCAGGCTTGGTGCTGCAACCACTTTCCTGGGGAGCCTGTTCCAGTGCCTGAACACCACCTGGGTAAAAAAACATTTTCTAATATCAATGCAAGTCCCCATGGGAAACACCACCACATTTTTGCAGTGTGGAATGTTACTCCACTTTGGTTCACAATTAAAACTCTGGTTGCATATATTGACAAAAGGGACCCACCATACCATGGCTGGTGGCTCCACAATTAGGAGACACCTAATGCCTCAAGAAAGGTAAATGACAGAGATGACAGAGTGGTATGACCAGATTCAGGGACTGAGATGACTCGCCTTCAGACCCTGTCGTCTGAAATGTTCTTGACAATTCTCTTATGTTTTTCTGGTTTGTTTACAATAGGACTCCTTAAAACATGTCCCCACTCTCTTCCATTAGCACTACCTTCCTCCACCTACATAGACCTCCTCCCTGCCACAGCGACTGAGGAGGTAGAGCATTCCAGTTAAAGAGGGAGCATGCAGAACCCATGGCCAACAAAAAAAATTCAATGACTGACATGACTTCCTGCCACATAGATAGAGGTTTCTCTACTTCCTTCAGCTCAGAGCAGTTCAAACACAGAAAGGTCTGCCTCTTAATGTAAGACAAGGCAGAGCTTGCTTTATCCTATACACAAGAGTCCATTTATTGCTCCTTTGTAAAGGGCTGAGCCGCAAGCCCGTAGTGTTTGCTTTTGTTCTTTGATGATAATAGCTGTGTTGAAAGAGGGATCAGCAGGGCCACTGCCTTTGTCTGGTGCAGCCCCAGCCATCTATCTGGGTGGGGTGGAAAGGCAAGAGGAGAATGAAGGGGAGCAGGGGAAACAAAGCAAACGTTATTATAGCTCAGATCATTTCCATGCCTGTACAGGAAACATCTGAGGTATTTTTCACTCTAACATTTTTAACACAAAGTTTAGCAGAAAAGGGAAGGTATCATGACAGGACACTCCCCTCTCCAGCTGGAAGACAAGGACAATACAAACTTTCGGAAGGCATAAGCCCTACCAATACTCATCACCCTGACTTGAAGAGACCTACTTTCATTTCCATTTCTGCAATCCATTCAATCTTGTCCCCCGCTTTGATGTGCTGTGGACACCTGTCTTCTGCCAGCTAAACTGTGAGCTACTGACTGAATTCACAAGTCACAAACAAGCTGGCAGGCAGAAGCACCCTAGGCTAAGTGGAAATAAGCACCTAGAAGTGAATGGCACTAAAGTTCTCCAGCATTCTCTTGTTACTTTCTGAACAGCAGTGTACAGAGAGGACTGAGGAGCAGGCAGAAACTAGAGAGAGAAGGAGGGAAAAAGCCATAAAACTTAGAGGCATTTTTTGTCATATGAGACCCACTCCCAAATGAGAGGAAATTCATCTTCTGGAAACAAGTCTGAAGATTATTCATATACTGACTCCTAAAAAAGCTTTTCTAAAGTAGATTTGGCTCTCATCATTCTGCAAATACAGAAAATCGATATAGGTAGAATTTCTCTGACAGAAGCATGACTAGTCGGGAACTCAGGCACTTAATTTGACAAATTATATATATATGTGTGTGTGTGCATGTGTATATATATATATGTGTATGTATGTAAATGTGTATATATACATATGTATATATATATATAAACTGTTCAGAGCATAGATTGATGCATTTAGGACAGTCAGTGAAATGATTCAAAAGACATGTGATGAGCCAGCCTGAACTCCTGAAGTGTGGTAGTAAGAGATGTTGGTGACTCAGAACGGGGTGATTACCTCTTAACTGAGCTCTGATGGAACATATTAACAATATGAAGAGCTGCATTTTGATTCAGCTGGAAACACCTCAAACTGGCAAAAGCAAATTCTTCACTAATTTGATATTTGTTCAAACAAAGTGTCGATTTCACATGCTGATTTGGCAAGTGGTCTCATTCTATCCTAATCTGGTCTGTTAAGGCATAGATAAACACATGGTCCTACTTCATTTCCTACAGACTCTTCTTCAGT